TTCATGAAATGAAATACATACCCTTGCCGAGCACATAATGGAGACAACACAATCATTATTTGAGTGGTCACATTAAGCAGGATGGCAACACTGACCATACCAAAAATATGATCTTGATCTCAAATGGTAACAAACCAGTGAATATTTCACATAATAACAAGCCATTTGGTTGCACACTTTGAAGTGGTCAACTTACTACATCTACACTATAGTCAGCATTTTAATTTTATGTCAGTGTAACAAATTAACTGGTTTAATTTCGCTTTGTTTGCAGGATATATTTGAGTAGTGTGGTCATGGTTTCGCTTTCAAAACTAGAGGAATCAATCTGTCTTGAAGATGCTTTGACTAGCTGGATCAATGGTGGTCGCACTGTCCTGAAGACATGACAACTCACTGGGTCACTGAATCATCCCTTCAGCCAAAAGGAAATTCCAATCGAAAATAAAGTATTTTACAGTAACGTGATTTATTACCAGATAAAGTTTGCAGCTTGGGGTTATTTTCACTGATAAGTCAATTATCGCTATTGAATGGTGGACTTGAGCCTAACATGACAATTATTGCAAGTGAGAGGGTTGATCATTGACACCTACAACTTCAACAATAAGGTGTTAAATACATCTTAGTAAGCTAATTTTCTTTGTTATAGTAATACCATTATTCAAATTCAGACTTTCACACTGTGGGCACAAGAAAGTATCGTGATGCAGTAAGAAAAAGGGCCCCTCACTCCTAACTCTAATCCTAACCTTGCCCCTCCTTATTTCAATTATATATGCCCCTCTTCAGGACACAGTTATCTAGAGGGGCATATGTACATCAAAGTGCATCTGTAACAATAACAGGATTAGTGTGCCCTGTTTTAAAAAGATCAAAGAATGTGCAAAAGCCTTTTGTCTTTCTCAAAAGGACAGTAGATGATCATGTTGCAGGGCGTCATAAATACAGCAGTATACTGTATAATTAAATATTACTTAATTTACTAAGACACTACCATCATTTATGTAAGCACATGCACTAATAATATGGTTTACATGGACATGTTTGAAATGTAATGAAAATGTATGTGATTTTACAAGTTGTTTTTCAAATGGTGATGCATGCACCAACACTAGCTAGAGAGCACAGTGTTGAAACGGGATGAAGCTCTCTGCTAATAATCTCTTTTCACATGCTACTACAAAAGAGTTGTAAAAATAATGCAATGCACTGTCTATGTAGCGTGTCATTAGTTAATTATTACAAGAACATTCGAGTAGAAAATGTTAATTATTTTCAAAGATTTGAGTTAATTTGAATAAATTAATTATATACATATAATTTGCTCAGAGGGGGGTGTTTATCCGCACAAAACTAAAACATATTACCCATCGTAGTCATATCAAATTAACATTATTATTTTTTTCTTTCTTTACCTAATACAAGCATTACAGCCAGACAGAAAATTATAACGTGATGCAAGTAAATATTTGTTTGTTATTTATTTACTTGATGATATGCAAGAAAACTTGTCATAAACGCAAGCCTTTAAATTTGTTAGAATAAAGTTGGACAGCAGATACACATGTATGGCACAATAATTTATTATTAACTAAGTGGTTGACAGATTTCAATTATAATCCCTACAATCAATGCTCAATGCTCTATTGGTTTTGACTGAAATTAATTTTTCTTGAGCTATTTGAAGCGATGTAAATTACTTTTCAGAGTATTATTTTGACGTGCAAGATACACGTACGAACGTCAGACCAGTAGTTTTATCAGAAAAGTTGAATTACCCCGTTTATAATTCACTGAGAACCCCTCCCCCCGAGTCGAAGGATGTGACTCTATATTTCCACGTACAGTCAGTGACTCGTCACAAAGATGGCTGTATCATTAAACAGAAAACACTGTTCAAAAGCAGAACATTAAACAAAAAAACGCAGTTAGTTATTTGTTCATTTTCAATCAAATCGACCAACTGAGCGACGCGTTTTCAGAAATTTAGCGATATTGTCGGTCTCATTATCGTTACACATAAGCACTCACCTTCCGACAGTTTCTGTGAAACCTCAGGTATACGAATTAGCTGTATTTGAATGTCTTGAAGTAATGATTAGTGTACTTTTCACAGTAATCCCCGTTTCTTACGGAGCAGCATGCAAGAGCAACAATGGCGGCATTTCCGCGCCAATTGAATCATGGGTAAACAACATCACCTGCACGGAACAAACTATTTTTGGAGTTGGGGGTGTCGTTCGTGATGCCCGCGACAAGTCGAGAGCAAAGGGGCTCGTCAACTTAAAAAAATAAAAAATATAAACAAAAAAACAAAGCATGTTGTCGAGCCCATGCAAAACAAATTAGGGCTCAGACTTCGTATTATTTTTTGGCCAACCAAATTTGTTTCGTTGAGGTTGAACACTGGGACAAGGGTCCATATTCAGCCCAACAACCCATATTACTTTTCACATGGTACATATAATACTACTATATTAAAAACAAAGTGTACACTTAAAGTTCTGTATATATGTGTATTTGAAACGATTCCTTTCCATTTCAACTTAATCACCCTTAATTTGTTTCAAGAGAAAATGTTTTCTCAGCGTTCACGTCAGAGATTTCTTTAAATGATTTGGTGAACTGAATTTTGCTAACGTTGAAATTTCAGGCTCACCGAATTTGCTCACCAACTTTTTTTCATATTTTTCTTATCACTCACCAAACATCGTATTTTATAACTCATTCGTGATATAATGGCATGTCCACGCATCATCCGATTGAGGATTCGAATTTTAGTTTTTAGACTTTCCAGTACCAGCACATCAAAGCCCATGTTATTTATTTATTTATTTATTTATTTATTTATTTATTTATTTATTTATTTATTTATTTATTTATTTATTTATTTATTTATTTATTTATTTATTTATTTATTTATTTATTTATTTATTTATTTATTTATTATTTATTTAGTTAGTTAGTTAGTTAGTTAGTTAGTTAGTTAGTTAGTTAGTTAGTTAGTTAGTTA